GAGTCAATGGGATTTCTCCATAGGAATTTGGAAAAAAGCTGGAAATAAGGTCTGTGGTTGACACAAATTTAAGAGACGGATCACTTTTTGTTCTACGACATTAAATACATCAGCAGTGACCCCACTGGTGATTTTTGAAGAGTTTACGTGTCTGAAAAACGATGGTTGTTAACAAGTGGCTGAATAGGACCACAGAAGTTGTCGAGGACGTTGTACTTCATTACGCCAAAATCTTCTAAGTTTGTTTGCCCCTGTTCTGCTTGAAAGCAAGTACCTGCGCTCTTGCAAACTGTTAAAACAAACGCTTCAACTTGGATCTTACTTGCTTTCAAGCAGAACAGGGGCAAACAAACTTAGAAGATTTTGGCGTANCTCCGAAAAAATATTTGTTTCTCCGAATCGAAGGGCGGTGGTCCCGTTCAGGATCTGAAAATAACATTTTAATATTTTGCAAACTTATTCCACTTATTCCTACTGTGCCATCATTGGCACGCGACACCGTTGGCGTAAACGAACATCATTAGCCAACCACCGACGTGAATAACAATCCTACTGTATTTACGTTTATTTTTAGCCATCAGTTTAAGATGCGCCTCAACGTCGCCCGCTCCGGCCCCCGGAATGCATGTGACTGTGGAGGCTTCGGTCTCTAAATTCACGTATCTCAGAATACTGTCTGTTATCCCCTCTGTTTCCCCCTTTCAAGTATGTTGCTCAATAAAGGCACTGGTTGCCCCCCCCCAAAAAATTGTGAAAACAAATAATTGAAAGAGCTAAGCTAACGTTAAGACATTTTAAATACATCGTCATTTATTACTCTCTTTTTGTCTGATTCCCTAAGCACACACACACACACACACACACACACACACACACACACACACACACACACACACACACACACACACACACACACACACACACACACACACACACACACAGTTTTTGTTTTATTTTTTTGTCTCCATGTATATTTTGTTATTTGTCTTGTATACTTGTAAATGCTCCTTATTGTCTTCTGTGTATATGTGACACTCGTGTATGCACTTGTAACTCCATATCGCTAAATAAAATAAAATAAAAATAAAATAAAAAAAGGAAATTTTAAATACATTGTCATGTAATAAAAATGTATTGGGCAAAATACTCAATTGGCTTCCGAAGGCAAGGCCAATGGGTGTCTGATTGTCTGTGAATATTTATCATTCCTGAGCAGGTGGCCCATCGTATAGCCTCTGCCTCAATATGAATGTATAGGTGTATGCTGACTCGTGTATTAAAAGTGCTCTGGTCGCAAAGACTGGAAAAGCAAAATATAAAATGCAGTCCATTTACCTTTTAACACTCTTTTGAACGCACTAGAACAAGGTAAAGGAAATGTAATCAGAAGTCGGCACAAACTTCGCCTTGCACTTGAGGATGAACTGATTAGAATATGGTCAAAGGTCAAAGTTACTGTGACCTCGCAAGACAAATTGTTGGCTTTAATTTGCTTATAGTGACAACACTACCTGCATGACTAATAGGATAGAATGAGGACAAGTGATGACATTTTGGACAGGGATGGATGTAACCTGCAACCTGACTGCTAGATGGTGGCATACCACTGCAATTTTAGTTTAGATACTTGATGTGTGTAAAATATGTATTTTAAAATGTCATTGCTTCCTGTCCATAGGGAATCTTTGTGCGTTGGCTGAAGGTGAATTTCAGCCAGGTGTTTATTGCCTCGATTCACTTGAAAGCACTGCGAGTGTTTGCAGAGTCAGTCCTCAGGTCAGCGCTGATGAGATGTACTTTCATTTTCTCTTTTAACCTTCTTGAAACATTTAATTTGAATAATTTTACTATGAGTACGCTCATGATGATGTCTCCTGCTAGGTATGGACTACCGGTGAACTATCAGGCTCTTCTGCTGCACACGGACAAGAAGCGTTCAAAGAAACTCAGAGAGGATCTCGCATCACTGTTCAAACATCTGGACCCCACTGCCTCTAACAGCAAGACTGATGTAAGAGGCCAAATACATCTTCACAAACCAAGCTCATTTAAGCTTGTTCATGTAGCCTTCAGCTCATGTAATGTTGAAATGTCATGGTGGACTAAGTATTCAGACCTGTATGGAGTAAAAGTCCTGCATTCAGATTTTTACTTTAGTAAAAGTGCAAATAAATTGGCATTTAAATAGATTTAAATAGAAAAAATGTAAAAATAATTACTCATTATGCCCCAGAAATAGAGTGGTGCAGGGATAATTTAAAAGCAATGGGATCTCTCCATAGGATTTTGGAAAATAGCTCGAAATAAGGTCTGTGGAAAACAAACCTGTTTGATAAATGCACGTTTTGTTCAGCNCGTTTTTAGTCTTACGCATCCGACCTGGAAAACTTTGCAGCCAATCTTATTTGTTACAGTGTACCGTGCACCAGGTCCTTATTCAGAATTCTTATCAGAATTCTCTGAGTTTTTATCAACTTTGGTACTTAAAACAGATAAAGTAATTATCGTAGTTGACTTTAATATTCATGTTGACGATTATAAAAATAGCCTTTCTGTTGCATTTAACTCTATATTAGATTCTGTTGGTTTCTGTCAGAGTGTAAATAAACCAACCCACTGCTATAATCACACTCTCGACCTTGTTCTGACTTATGGTATTGAAATTGAGCAACTATTAGTCGAACCGCATAATCCTGCTTTATCCGACCATTTCTTAGTAACTTTTGAAGTACTGTTACTAGACTACAAAGCATTAGCAAAAGCTCCTGCAGCAGAAACCTATCTGTTAGTGCTATAGCCAAATTTAAGGAAGAGATTCCACCAATACTTAACTCGATAGCATGTCTGCATGTGGGAGGAAACTATACAAAATGTACACCACCCCAAATTGATCATGTTGTTGATAGTGCTACAGATGCGCTGCGAATAAAATTAGACTCTGTTGCTCCTTTGAAAAAGAAGAAAATAAAACAACATAGATTAGCTCCATGGCATAATGCCAAAACCCACAAAATAAAGCAAAAGTCGAGACAACTTGAAAGGATATGGCGTTCCACTAAACTTGAAGAATCTTGTTTAATTTGGCATATTACACTCAATGAATATAAGAAAGCACTGCGTAAAGCGAGAGCAGCCTACTACTCTTCATTAATAGATGAGAATAACAATAATGCAAGATTTATTTTCAGCACTGGCTGACAGAGAGCCACAGCTCTATTGAGCCTTCTATTCCCATAGCACTCAGTAACAATGATTTTATGTGCTTTTTTAATGATAAAATTGTTACTCTTAGAAACAAAACGAAGGACCTCTTGCCTTTGACCAGTATAGTGTTATCAACAGCTCCCGGAAACGTAAGTTCTAATATTACACTAGACAGTAAATTAGAATGCTTTTCAGCCATAAACCTTAAACAATTAAATTCAATGATTCTTAGACCCAATTTGTTACTTCAAGGCTGGAATATTGTAACTCTTTATTATCAGGGTGTACCAAAAAGTCAGTTAAGTCGCTTCAGCTAATTCAAAATGCTGCAGCACGTGTACTAACCAGAGTCCGGAAAGAGACCACATCACTCCAGTTTTGGCTGCCTTACACTGGCTCCCTATAGAACACAGGATATAATTTAAAATTCTTCTTCTCGTCTACAAAGCCCTTAATGGGCAGACGCCATCTTACCTTAAATAACTTATTGTACCCTACTTTCCTACTAGGGCATTGCGTTCCAAGAATGCACGGTTGTTGGTTGTTCCTAGAGTCTCTAAAAGTACAATGGGAGCCAGAGCCTTTTCTTATCAAGCTCCACTTTTGTGGAATCAGCTTCCAGTTTGTGTTTGGGCGGCAGACAGCCTATCCGTTTTTAAGAGTACGCTTAAGACCTTCCTTTTTGATAAAGCTTATAGTTGATAAAATAATCTAATAAGAGTGCATTGAGACACGTTGTGCCTCTTCACCTATACATTTTAGTTCTTAACTAAATTACATACCATCAGTAAGGAAAAAGAGTTTGTGTGTAGACGGTGGAAGCAGGGAGAGGCATATACAGTACGTGCCTTGATCCCTGCCGAGTCGACGCACAACTGTTGATTGGAGTCAGTGCCAAAAAAACTTTTTTGGAGCGATGCTCTCATGGTATAGATGTGGCGCATACATCTTAGTTCCTACTCTTTTCCCTCAACCTATCCTAAGGGAGTGCATGTACGTAGACACGTTGTGCCTCTCCACCTCTGTTCCTTACTTCTTACTTGCTACCCTTTCCCTCAACCTATCCTAAGGGAGTTCATGTACACGTTAGTTTAGCTGCTATAGGCTGAGACTGTCGGGGGACACCTTACTTCTTCCTTCTGTCTGTCTGTATCTGTGTACTCTCATGTTCAGAATAACCCAGCTACCCCCAAATGTATTTTTAGTGTCTATCTACGCCGGGATCCTGAGTCGTGGCTGATCCTGTTGCTGCGGTCCTGTGTCCTGGATCCTGAATCATGTGTCCTGGATCCTGGATCCTGAGTCCTGGATCCGGAGTCCTGGATCCTCTATCCTGATTTCTGGATTTGAGTCCTGGACTTCGAGTTGTGGCTGAACCAGTCACTGTGGTCCTTCCTGACTCTCATCATACTACTTCCCTGATGGCTCCCACAGGATTGTTGACATCCTCGTGGATTCATCTTCTTAGACACATGCATTTCCAAACATTCGGTCTACCTACGCTGAAAAATGTATTATCTCTTCGATTTACACACGGAATCTATTGCACGTCTGTCCGTCCTGGGAGAGGGATCCCTCCTCTATTGCTCTCCCTGAGGTTTCTCCCATTTTCCCCTTTAAACTGTGGGTTTTTTCTCTGGAACTTTTTCCTTGTACGATGTGAGGGTCAAAGGACAGAGGGTGTCGTAATGTCGTATTGTCATACTGATATTCTGTACAAACTGTGAAGTCCACTGAGACAAATGTAAAATTTGTGATATTGGGCTATATAAATAAATTGATTGATTGATTATCTTTTTTTGTCTGCCTTTTATCTGCACTACCTTTGCTACTGTAACACCATCAATGTCCCAGCTGCTGGACAAATAAAAGGAATATTGATTCTGAATAACTACTTGTTGTCCAGGGCTTGAACACCCGGACCTTCGTATGGTGGACGACCACTCTTCATACTGCGCCCCAGCCGCTCTCACGTCCTGAGGTTAAGTTACAGTGGTCTAGACCTTTGACCACCAAAATCTAGGTTGTTACCTCTTGAGCCAAAGTGGGCGCTTTTGCTAAATTTGAAAAAGATACCTCAAGATGGTTCCTGAGATAACGTGTTCAAAGGAATGGTACAGACGGCCTGATAAAAACTCTTCAGAGTATGATGTTGTACTCACGTATTGTTCCTTTTTGTGAACACTACGCTGCTGCCCCTCCTGCTGCTGCTTCGCCTCCAGATCAAAGCTGTACTCGCGGACGGTGAACCTGTGTGGATCATAGGCTACACCATGGTAAGTGACACCTATAACACAGCTTTGACATGATGCAATATTATCTGGCTATCCATCCTGCTTACTTGCTCTCCTGGGCTTTGGCTTTGAATTCACACACAGCTCTTTTGAAGAGTGTAACGGAGAAAACGCCTCCCTCTTCATCCTCGTGCAGCTTCCTGATGTTCACACAAAATAAATAAACCCTGCTTTACTGTGCATCTTATTCTAAATAAGATCATACAATATAAAATAACATTCTGTATTCGAGAAGACTTAATAGAAGCAATTGAGAACATAAAGTGGTCGAGAACATGTTAACTTCGCTATTAATAAAGAAAGTGATTGGGAAATGTTCTCATAGACTTCTACAAAACTTATTTTTGTGAAGTCGCCCCCTGCTAGTTATTAGAAAATGCAGGTTTACAGCACTTCCTCATATGCTCATATATTTTCAAAGCAACTATTATAGAAATAGCATAATTTCACAAAATCAATGTACCCATACGGTTTTAAAGGAAAAAAACTTTACAGAATAAAAAGTATAGGTTTAAGTAATAAAATAAATGACGGCCGAGTTCCATTTAACTATGTTCAAGCACCGATGAAAAGTTGTTTGAGTAAATCAGTTTGTTTTTTTTGCCATAGAAGAGTTGAAATATGAAATAGTAAATAATGATATGAAATCAGTTGCTTCACCAAAGCAAAGCAGCCACAACCTTCAAAAATCTATATAATAAGATATTCTTATATTAACTAACCAGTATTTCCTTTATCTAAAGTAAAGACTGTTAATTGTGAAGTTATACAAACAAACGGACAACACTTGATCTGTGGCTAAGGAGAGCTTGTTAGATCTTGGTATACTTGAACTGTCAGTTTACAAATAACTTTTTCTTGTAAGGCATGCCTTTCAAGTTTTGGCATTATGTCAAAAAGCATTCAACCCCAATTGAATACATTTTTTTCTCTGAAAAAAACCCCCACTTCCTTCCCTGCAACTGATCCAAGCCATGACTCTTACTTTCTGCCGGTAATGGAACACCCGTGGTTACTTAGCCTGACCTTTTGAGAACAGGTACTTAGAGCTTTGCTGGTGCACTTACTGAGAACGAGTAGAATGGCTTGTCCCAAAGCTAAGAGTGAATAGAGACCACTCACCTGCTAGACCTTGGAACCACGAATTGTGAAAAAGATTCATATGTCCTCTCCCACTGCAAGTAGCTCCCTCTGTGATCAGAAAGACATTTACAAATGAAGAACCACACATGAGTTTTACCATACAATGAAGGTAGAACTTTGCCAACTGTCACTGTCGGTAGAAACATACTTAAAATGTACGTTTTATTGGCTTATCAATGTGATCGCATGATTCCTTCTGATATTATTGCAGATCTACAGTAAGCTAGCTAATTAACCTAGTTAACCTAGTCATTTCAAATATACTGAGAAAACAGTTAGAATGATGAGACTAACTGCAAGAGTAAACGCTGCGCATGTTTTGTCAAATAGGTGAATATTTTCTAAATGCTACGCATGTGTTGCCAAGTTGGTGAATATAATTCATCATTGCATTGTGTTTGGGATCAAATGTGTTTTTTCATTTGCATTGTTTTTGAAAATGCGGTGCCATTCTCCTTATAAAAGTGTTTTCTCGGGCCCTTGTAAAGTGTTTGCCCATGTTGGCCACTGTATCACCCACCTGGTCACCACTACCAGAAGAGTAGTGAGGTGCTCCGAGGTCACAAGGTCTTCCTTCGTCACTATGTCATTCAGACTGCAAGTTTGCAAACTCCCACAGGAAAGATAGACATTCAAGTTGAACATTTAATTGACAATAGAGTGATATAATTCTAACTTAATACGTCACTGAAGTCACTCACTGTAGTTTGTACCCCATGCTTTGAAGGCTCGTTTTCACGCTGCTGTACGCTGCAGCTCGGGATTTTAATTCCGTCTCCATCTGGGAAACTTCCTGACACGCATGCAAGTGTTAACAAGACATGTCAACATCAGAACAACATGTGCTGAGCTCAAAACAAGAAAAATCCATAAGCAAATTAACATTTCTCAAATTTGCTAAATTTGTAAAAGTACCTAAACTCCTTTTTTTTTATACACAATGATTAATTTATGTATCAACTTGGCTTTTAGCCAATGTGCCCACTCACACAAAGGATATTAGGATACAATTCCACAGGAAGTTAGCATTACTGCAGCATATGTGCATACAGTCCATCCAAAATGTGTTTCTAAAGCTCAAATGTGTTCAAAATCTCTGTCTAGAGGTAAATATTAGACAGAAAAAAACGAAAGAGGGGGACTTTCACAAACAAATTTTGGATCATGGATGTTCCCATAGGAATTAATGGACATCCGGTTGACTCCCACACATAAACGGAGCATTTCTGTCTGTGTTCATAAATGGAAGGTTCATGGGAATATCCTTCTCATTTCCATTGGGTAGTACCATGGTGATGATGTCTGCAAGGCTGGAGAGAGGCAGAGCTGTGGGGTACTTGGCTTTGTCCCACTGAAACTTTGTCATGTAGCTAATCAGGTCCACTGAGACACACACACACACACACACACACACACACACACACACACACACACACACACACACACACACACGTACAGGTAAGAAAATCACCAGAAAACAACAATCGAACAACTGTAAACACACCACACAGTGGAAAACAAGCTTCATTCACACAACTCAGTGTCAATACATTACTGTAGAAATGCACACTTTGTATCACACAGCACTGCACTCCAGGCAGATCAAATACCCCTCAGAGAGTTGAGGTAAGCTTTCAGGGGCGACACGGCGGCAGTCTGATTCATGCTGTGGTCTGCTTGAGGAAAGTGATCAGAGACAGGGGTTAGCCTTGTTTGTGATAGGTTGTAGTTGCTTTATCTGTCTGCCTTTATGTAGGACACTAACGCATTCCCTCGTTTCCACACAGTTTTGTTTCGTTTCCGTAGTTCCCCAGTGTTCAACACAAGGAAACACAGAGATTTCAATTAAGTTGATTTGTCACTTTTTCACCAACAGAAACAGGACAATTATGCAACATTTATCCAAATAAATCATTGTATATGAATGTTATAATGTAGTCTTCCACTTGTATTTACTTCGATTCATATGTAGCTGATAACCATGTAAGAACATTTTACTCAAATTTAGAAATGTGTTTAACTAGCTGAAAAGTTTAACTTTTTTTATAAACAAAAAGCGTAATAAAATTAATTTCACTTTTTGGCTTTTACATGAAATTAACATGTTAAACAAATGAGCATTTTATGGATTCTTCCTGCATCTGCAACAAAAACCTAATTGAGATACATTTTGGAGAAAAAATAAATAACTCAGCAGAGATCAGGTTTCCATAGTAATGAAAAACTTCCGGTTGACTCCGATGTTCACAGAGATAAGTGGAAACAAGGTGAAAGGGATCTCTGAATGTGTGAGTGGGAGTGGATATCATGTGTAGACATGCATATGGAGCTTGGTTGAAGTAGTTATATGTCTCATCTGCAGTGTGCATGTAGTCTGCTGGCTTCTAAGCACTTACTTATGAGTTCCTACTATGTAACAAACACCCTATGCATGTTGAGTGTGTGTGTTTGTGTGTGAATCACCTCCATTGGCTAAGGCGTTTTCCAGCACTTTGTCATCAGACTGCTCCATCACCTCCCTCATACACTGATGTGTTTTTTTAATCACACTGACCGGGCAAAAGGAAAACACAGCATTAAATAAAGACTTGTTTGGTCATTGTTTGGTTTCGTTATATGTTGCTCATTCGGTTCAAATTTTGGAAATCTATTTTTGTCTAAATGCTGTTAAGGAAGTCCACAAAGTACTATACATGTCTAACAAGGGTTTTCCTATCCAACTGTAGGTAAGATCTATAAAGAGAGATGTAAAAAAAACTAAGGGATAATAAATAAAATACCACGCTAAATTACAAGTAGAAATCTGTGTCGTTTGAACTTGCCAGGCCAAATTTGTATGCTCATTATTGGCTATACTGGCTCTCATCCACCAACAATGAATTTAAAATCAGGAGGGAAACTAACCATCAGCATGCCCCTGAACATCAATTAATCTTGGCGCAAACCGCACACAAGCTCAGAGTTACACCACGTCTTAACTAAAGACACATTAAGCTACAAACGTGCACGTGACCATGGAGACAAACAGGTTTGGGTGAATAGACATATTCTGTTTGTTTAAGCATGCTTGGAATTATCTTTTTACCTTTCAGTCAGTGTGTCAAGCTTGGAGAGGTCATCTGATACGCTGAGCAGACTGTCAAGTATTCCCACCTGGTCACAGCATAGACAGAACAGTCAGTTTTACCGTGGCTCAAACAGTGTTGCATGTATAATGACTTATGAACATGCTGGCTTTTGAGGCGAGCCCCCTCCCCCCTGAGGCGAGCCCCCCCCCTGAGGGTATTGGCTTTAATAACATGTCTTCCATCAGACTATAAAAATACTTTGTACTACACTTTGCAAATGTTCTCCTAAATGTACCGGCTAGCATGGGATAATGCGTTATTTGTACATTTAAACTAATGATAAGTAATAGAAAAAATCATTGAATTAATTTTAGTAATCAACAGAGGAATTTTCTTTTTTTTATATATTTATTTTTTATTTGCACAAAAGAAATTAACAGTTACAGACCATCTTACATTTTTTGAAATAATACAAAGCAAATAATGTGAATCAGGCATACAGACAAACGAACATGAAAAGACAGAGACACAAAAAAACAAAAACAATTGTGTGTAGCAGAGAACCAGAGGGTTACATTACAAATAGAGTTTTTAGTTGAAGTCTGATCTATACGGGTTGACAAACTCAATCCATCCCTTCCAACACTTGTTTGATTTCCATTGCCTTTCAATTAAGTTGTCCCACTCTTCTATTGATAAGACAAAGTTTCCTTCACGTTCCCACTTTTCCTTTATGTAGGACGTGTTCAACCCACTTAGCTCCTGGAGGCCCTTATACAGCTTAGAAATAGTCTTGTGACCTCGGTCAGCTCTGTATGCCGAAATAAAGACACCTTAATATACCAGTTCCAGATAATGATTTTAACATATCTTCTTTACTAATCAGTTTGTTCACATGATGTCTGAGCTGCAAAAATCGGAAGAGGTCCTGGCTGGCCAAGCCGTATTGATCCCTTAGATTTTGGAAGCTTTTAAGTGTGTTTCTTTCAAATAAATCCAAATAAATATTCAGGCCCTGAGCCTGCAATTTTTTAAAATTTGCATCAAGCCTGTTTGGAATAAAACCTGGATCCCAGGCCACCCAACTGATCAGTGGGTAAGGCTCCACGGTCCCAACTATCTTAGCTACTTTAAACCAAATTTTCGGTGACAGATCTAGACATGGTTTGGGTTGTTGCCCCAGGTGGTGCCTCAATTCACTGTCACCAATAACTGCCTGTAGTGGGACCTTGGTTGAGTATTGACACTCAATTGATTTCCATATTGCTGAATAGGCGGGGTTACATATATTTATCAAAGGTTTAATTTGAGCTGCTTGGTAGTATGTTTTAAGACAGGGGAGGGCTAGGCCCCCCTTGTCTCTGGGAACCTGTAGGGTTTTGTACCTAACTCTTGGTTTCTTTCCCTGCCATAGGAATCTCGAAATCCACTTGTCCCATTCTATAAATGTTTTGTCTGGGATATCCACTGGCAGTGACTAGAGCAGCCTCGGAAGAGTATTCATTTTAATTATTTCAACACGTTGGATCAAGCCCAGAAAGGGCAGCAGCCGTACAGGTAAGAAAATCACCAGAAAACAACAATCGAACAACTGTAA